ATCAAGAGCTTGCATTTGAGTACCCACATGCATTTTCGATATATTTTTCATATATTCATATATGTAATATATATAAATATATGAAAAATTGATGTGGGTACTCAAATGAAAGGTCTCGATGGAAGTAACATCAGGATGAGCTTATATCTTTAAAAATGTCAATATTTCACAAAATACAAAGTCATTTCTTAATTATGTATCTAAAATAGACTGGCCACAAAATTTTTCTAATTTTTTTAATAATATATAGGGTAAAAGACCTCATTAGTGGCGGGGACCCCATTACTGACACTTTCTTTGATTTTGGTACTTATTCAATTAATCAAATCACTAATTTCAATAATAAATATATTATTTATAATCTTCAAGACCTTTTCATCAAAAAAATTTTTAAGTTTTATTTCAAGTAGAACATTTTTTCATTGAAAGAAAAAGTACCACTAATGGGGGTTAAAGGTGCCACTAATGGGGTCTTTTACCTTATTATTAATTCTTCTACCAGTGTATATAATCCACTTCTATAACTCAAAAATTAGAGGCATGAATATAAAATCTCTAGATTTATATCTAAATATTTTTGTATTATCCTCAGACTATGCAGCCGACTGAGATCGCCAATATTCGAGGCATGCCGTAAAAAAGTAAACCCAACAATGTACTACAAATCATGCCTGCAAGACGTGTGTGAATGTCCAACGGACAATTGCTACTGTCAATCATTTATAGCGTACGTACGTGAATGCCAACGACTGGGAATTCAGTTGCAACACTGGAGGACATCTACAAAATGCCGACCAGTATGGGAAATTAGCACGCCGGGGACGAATAATATCAGGCGACGTCACCATTAATTATCAATAAAATTATGACTTATGAAATATGTATTTAAATTTTCTCTATTAATATTTTATTTATATATAGTTTGAGTAAGATTTATTTTTGAAGCCTAGTTCAATAACAATTGGACATTATTGTATTTTTGAATGGATGGAATGCTGCGGTACAAGTTGCCGGACTATTGATGGAATTATTGATACTAATAATTCAATTTTACTAGTCACTTTTGTGCCCTGTTTAAAAATATTGATTGAAAAGAATTGAAAATGATGAAATTTGAATTCTTTTTAATAATTTTAATTCTTTTGTTTGTATATATAGATATACAGTTTGCATGGAGTGACCGCTTTTCAATTCTTTTCAATTATTATTTTTAATCAGGATGTGTTTGTATGCGCTGTATTCACTTTTTTATTTTATACTTTCCTTAGTATCGAAATGTATATTTATTGTAGGATTTTTTATTTTAAATTACCTTTTATTACTCGATTATAAATTGCTGTAACCTAAGGATTACTTATATTTATTTTATTTGTATCAAAAGCCTAATTATTTAATTTAGCTAGTTTATATTATTACTGTATTAATTATCATTTTTTTCCAAGTTTTTAAGTAATGAACGAATGAATAATTATGAGCGCGATATAGTTGTATTTTTTTACATTTAATCGAATAATTGTTTCATTATTTGTTATTAATAATGATAATTAATGTTATTAATTATAATTAATATTCTTCACTTAGAATAATTATTTTTTTGCTATTTGTAAATGCAATAAATTTAAGATTTTTAGAATACACTTGGTGAATTTTTTATTATTTGAAAAAAAAAAATCTCCAGCAATAAATAAAAATCAGTAACACACCTCTTGGTGTTTAATATTTCCACATTGCATTTTAGTTAAATGGTCAAATTGTATTATTTATACTTCGGATATATGTATATATTTACTTTTTTTTTAAAAAAATTTTATACGGAGGATATTGAAATCAAGAATTTAATTTAATTTTTCTACATGAGCATGAAACAGATATTAAAAGATGTGAGTTATTGTACAATAAAAAAAAATATATGGATAAACAAACAAAACATGTAAATAAGTTTATATAAATTTTTAGTAAGACCAAGAGTGTTTAGTTATATGCTAGATTAATTTTCGTTCATTAGTTATTAATTTGTAATCGTAATTGTAATTAATATAAATTACAGCTGATGTTTAAAGGATCTAAAAACGCAGGTCTCATTGTCTAAAAACTTTGGAAATATAGTGAATAAATACTTGAAAACATTTTATGATTTTTTTAGTGTTTATTGAATTTTAAGATTTTTATTTATTTAAAAAGAAAATTTCAGCTTTTGATTGTTTTCATATTAGTTTTTCAAATGTGAAATTTAAAAATTTATATTGAAATTAGCAACCATCTGATAATTATAATTTTTCTTAACTCTATAAATAAGATAAACAACAATAAAATAAGGTTTGAATAATTTTGATGTAATGTATTAAATCAATTGCATTTGAAACAAAAAAAAAACGTCCTATACTATTAAGTCGAATATTAAAAAAGTTATAGCTATTAAAAAAAAAAATTAAAAATTAAAATTATTATCTGATTTGATAAAAGTCTTTCATAGGGTGAAAAATAAAAATAAAAAACTTCCAGCGAATTCAAAAGTGGACGACGGAGTTACAGGTATTCAAAATAATTAAATAAAGTTAATTATTTATCACAATAAAATTTATCAGATGCTAGTGAATAAAAATATTAAATAACTAATATATAAATTAAATAAAATGATTTCCACCCTCTAGTTCAAATAGTCTTTTTTTCTTTTTTTTTTATAAAAATTAATATAATAAAGTAAGTACAAGGTGTTGATTAAAACTAATGTAGCCAAGTTTAAATAATTATGGGAATAATGATTGATGCTGACATCTATGCGTGGGAATAAGTATTATTTTTTTAAGATTCACAAGTTACCGACTGTTACATTGAGGAATAACTGTCCTTGCTCTTTATCATCAGATCCACCGTGACTGCAGACGTCGTTTTTAAAATCCCGCATGGTTCGCTAAGAGGGGGCAAAATTGAGAGAGTGGGGGAGAAAACCCGAAAGTACCCGACGGCGACTTACTGGACAGGACGACTTTAACCCTTTCACGGTTCTGGGCGTTTCTCCCACTCTTTTTCCACTCGCGGGGCAAGGGGACTGCACGCAATCCAGTGAGCGGAGCGCAGGGACGTATAGACAATAACCTCAATGATCGCTTACATGGTGAAGCCATAAAAATAATAAATACGGCCCTGAGTGAGCATTTGGCGGGCATGAAAATCTGGTGGCGGGAGTTAGTCCGCTCACGCGACTGGCTATCCCCACTCCGGGAGAAAAAGTACGACTCAGTCCGAATTGACCGTGAGAGGGTTAAATGAAATATTATTTGACTACGATAGAAAATAGGTGACGTAATGTAACTTGATTATCCTTAGACAACCACTACGATCGAGATATTTTTAAATATATAAAGAGGAAATGTACAAAGGACCAGTGACACTTCAATTAACATACATTTGAAAATTTTAATGCTTTTTTTATACAAGTAAATTTTAAAATAAACCATTCAAGAAAAATTTCAAAAGTTGTGGCTTATTTTTTTAAGAAAATTAAAAATAGACAATTGTTTACTGATTTCTGCATTATAAATTAAATCAAAGTATTATTTGCAGAGATAATTAATTACTGAAACTTGCGAAACCAATTATTAACTTTGAAATTTTTTGAATATTAGATTGTCATTAATAATTATTGATGACAATCTAATATGATTGTAATCTCTTAAATCTTTTTTGTGTAAAGTAAGTTCCACCTTTTTTACGGTCCCATCCTTCACTTTCAAATAACCAATCATCTTCATAGTTATCACAATCTTCTGCCATCATTCTTTTCTTTTTCTTCTCGATGTTTTGTCGTTGCCTTTCTGTCAATAGTGTGTGTTATCTTTCATTCAGCTTACCTTCGATTACCTCTCCCATTTTTTCAATGAATCTTGGCAGCAAAATTTGTTTTTCTTTTTCCAAAATATTATTCTTGACGTCATTAAAAAATGTTTCAGCTGTCGCATTATTATCTCTTGAGAAATTTACATTTTTATGTTTCAATAAACATAAAATTATACCTGACCAGAGAGAAAAAAATGGCAGCAAATGTTCCATAACGTAATCGATGAGAAACTCAGTAGAAAAATGTGGGTTTTTCAAAGTTCCTTTAGATGTAACATCTGATTTCTGAATTGGGATCCAAATCGAATTGAATATCATAAAAAACGGTGATCCATGGCGCAATTTCGTTTCTGTTTCTTTACTTATCTCATCTGGTATTGTTTCTTCTTTTTCTTCTTCTTCTTCTTCTTCTTCTTTTTCTTTTTGTTCGTCTTCTTTATCGTCTGATGATTCATTTTCTTCATTGTCTTCATCGTCATCATCAACTTCATCTCGTTTTTCCGTTTTCGTAGCTTCATAAACCGGTAAAATTTTCTTCACATACGTATCAAGATTTTCATCAGACCATTCTTTTCCAAACACTATACATCCATCGTTGAAAATCGTTTTGGCTTCCTCAATAGATGTACAGTGTACTAATTGCGAGATCCAATGCAATGCAAGTTTTTTTGTTGCTTTTGACATCGAACACTCTTTTAATTTTCTTCTCACAGTGTTCAACAAATGAGTTGAACATATATGAACTACTGTAAAAGAAATGTCTGTAGTCTTTTCATTTACTGCGATGTCGTGAGTTATTTCCAGATATTTTTTCAAAGTAAAACGATTGAAACTCATGATAATTGTCTGGATACCAGCCAAACAGAAGTCAGATTCTACTTTATCGACTATTAGTTTTTTCTTCGTAAAGCGACTCCAAGTATCCATTACGGTAGAAAGAAAAATCGTTTGATAGTGAGCGTCATGAACAGTAGAAATGAATTCTGCTACCGGGCAGAGCCCATATTCATTATGTTTTCCCGGTAATGACAATACGTAGTACAATATTCGCTTAGAAACATTTTTAATTGGGGCAAAAAGACTACCAGTTGCATCTAAATTCAGAAAAACCGTGTCCTTTTGAGATATGAGGTGTTCAATTTGTCGGACCGTGTATAAAATGATGTAAAAAGGTTTTGAACTAATATTTTGTATATATCCGGGATATTTGTGATGGGGCCACGAAATTTTGAATTTTTCATCTAATTTTTGGACGTAACTTATTAAATCTTTATCAAGATCGTTTGCCGCTCGATTTTCACTTGAAATTTTATGAAGGATTGTACTACTCAGGACGTGATTCCGATTACCTGCTTCAAGAACTTCTTTATCGACATTGTTCAACATCCTAAACTTCACCATTCCAGGTTTATTTTGTTGTATCGCTGCAGCAACTTTAACACGCTCTGCTCCACTACAATTTCGTCGATGAATATCGTTTGGGTCATGATTAATCGCTCCTTCTGGTTCAGCATGTATTGTGATATCGACAAAAGGCTCGGTAATTGGAGTGTAACTGATAAAATTGATTTTTGTACACAGACGATTCTTACAAGTAGCATTAGCAATGAAAAACTTGTTATTTTTTTTTTTTTACTGTAACATTTGTTATCTCTAAATGAAAAAACACAAAGCTTAAGCTTGTCGTGTTTTTTAAGTAAATCATTAAAAGAATTAGTCCAGCCTTTATTTAAGCGAATAGTTCCATTCCAATACTTTTTCCAAAAAGATGCTGGAATAATAATCGTCTCATAAGACTGA